CAATTTTCTATCCTTACAATCAAACGGACCCTTAGTTATTGAGAAGGTTGCCCGAAATATATAGCGTCTATTAACCTTTTGGGATAAGTTATTTTTATTATTAAGTTAAAATTTACTTATTTTAGAGGTAATTCTTACTTTTAGTTGGTATCTTACTTATTTAAGTTTTAATTATTAAAACAATTTTTTTAAAGCTTAGTCAAACATGCTATTAATGAAGATGAAATTTAAAAAAAAAAATTGAAATAAGAATAAAACTGGAATTATAGCTGATGGGCCATAAGGATTAAATGCTTAGTTGGCCCATTTTTAAATGCTTGTAGGTGTAACCACACGAAGTTGTTTGAGAGTGACGGCCCGCAATTTCTATTGATTGTTCATGTTTTATTGCTATTAAAATGATGATGTGATAGAAATTAATAGAGATTTAGGTAAATAATAATTGTGAATCTTATAAAATATGTGATATGCTCGATTAACTATATTTAAAAACGGTCCATCTTTCGCGTTGTAAATATTCTGAATTTATACAAAAAAACAAAAAGATGAAGTCAATGTTACTTAATATAAAATATAAAGAAAATTCTCGACCTTTGTGATGTAAGGGACGTTTTTGTCAAATTTGGAGAATACTCTCTATTTTTAAAGAGTATATTCTACAATTTGAAGACCATCTATAAATTTTGAGATTAAAAATTTTTAAGTACTTCAATATGCTCTTTATATTTAGTACTTATGGTGTATTTGATTACATTTATTTTACCATGAAAAATGTCAGCTTTTCACCTAAATTTCTACTTTGAAGTGTTTGATTACTATTTTTTCCATAGAAAATATTTTTTGATTTTTAAAAATATCTCTAATTTTTCTTATTTTTAAGGAAAACATTTTCTGTGGAAGAGTAGTAGGTTTTTGTTTTCCTCAAAACAAGAAAAATATTTTCTTTTCTATAATATATTTTTCATGACAATCAAACACACTCTCAATTTTACCATTCTCAAAAAATATTTATTATTATTTTTTTATCTTTTATTTTCATTAGTTTTCCTTCAAATTATTATGTTATTTTCCTTTATTGAAAATTGAAATACTTTTAATGCATGTAATTATAGAAAATGAATTTGACTCTTCAAAACTCGTTGTCTAAATTAAAATGTTAATTTAAAGAATCTCTTAGAGCATAATTTTAGGAGTTGACTTGTTAAAATAGAGAGTATCTTATATTTAAAGAATTTTTTGGAGATACTCTTACTTAATGAAAATTAATTTATTTTATTAAAATACTTAAACTCATGTTTGATGGAGATTAAAATTATATTTTTAGTATATTTTAATAAAAGTTGATGAAATGCGTGGTTGAAAAGTTGTGGGGGTCCATAAAATATGTGTTTGAGATTAATTGTTAACTTTAACTTAAATTAAAATACTAGATTTTCTTTTTTCGTCTGCCTAATTTTTTATTTTCTTTTACTTTATAAAATTGAGTTCCAATTATTGCTAATATGTTCATACTTCATTCCTTAAATTAAATCTTGATTTAATTTAAGTAGTTCTTAAATATATGGCTGGACGTGGGTTGGGTTGGATTGGTTTTGAATTCAACCCCAACACAAACCCAACTCAACATCTTCGATTTGACAATAATTCAAATCAAAACCAGCCCATTTACGATTGAAACCAAACCCAATCCAAACTGACCAAGCTCAGGTTGTTTTGGGTTGGATTAATTGGTTTGGACTTGAGTCAAATTCAAATTGAATCCAGTTATTCTTTTGTTGGACAATTTTTTTTTTATGGGCCAAATGGTTAGAACTTTTTTCATTGAATTTGAACAATTTTTTTAAAGCTTGATACTATTTCAATTTGGATCGATTTCAGTTACATTAAAAAAAGAGATGTGAAAGGCATTAATTCAATTGAAATTGAATCAATGGTCCGTTGAATTAAATTTCATTCAAATGGAACAATATAAATTAAAAATATTATAAAATATATTAAATACATTATACCAAGATCAAATTAAATACATATTAAATCAATCTAAATACATAATGAATACATACATATTATAACTATTGAATAAAATGAATTTAACCTAAATACTAAAAATGTAAAACTCCTCCTTCAATCCAAGTATTTAGTTAAAAATCATGTCAAAAAATCAAGTTGAAAAGCTAAGGCACAAGTAGCAATGAGAGACAGAAAAGATCGAAGGCAAAAGAGACTTGAGGCGGAGGAGAATTTTGATCGTTAGGTTTTAGGTTTTTGGTTTTAAGTGCTAATTTTTAAAAAATACTTTTTAGTTTATTGTGTTGGGTTTGATTGAGTTTTAATAGATAAACTGGAACCCAACCCAACGCAAACCTAAAATTTGATTTCCCAACTCGAACACAACCCTATTGAACTAAAAAACCAACCCAAATCGGTTGGCTTGTGTTGGATTGATCGTTTTGATTGGTTCAGATTGATTTTTGCCCAACTCTACTTAAATATGAGCAACAAGTAAAATAATTATTTGATTGTGAGATATTTGAATTGCACGACTTCCTCTTCAATTAATGGGGTATTTATAGATTTCATCCAAACTTTGGGGTAATTTAATCATTCTACGGAAATGACTTATGATGAATTCTTAATAGCTATCTTGTAACTGATTTGATTTGGAATCATGCTTTAATCTTTTGTCCATGTTCCCTTTATTGACGGTCAGTATTCGACCTAGATACAAAGAATAGCTCTTGGTATTTACACGACCATTCTGCTTCTTTGTTTCCCATTTTTCTGAGACTATTATAAAATAAGCATTTAATAGGCGATCAACGATGGCTGTGCTAGTTTTTTTGGTTGTTGGAGTGGTGGTGGTGTTTGTTGTCGTTTTTATGTTTTGGTGTTGTTGGAGTTTTGGGGGGATTTCTGGTGGTGGTTGGTTTGGTGGTGGCGATGACGATTCTCATGTTTTGTATTTTTGGGGTGGTTTTTGGCGGTGGTGTTGACGATGGAGATGATGATTGCGACTGTGATATGGCATGGGATTGGGTTGGATTGGAATGGGGGTGCAGTGCGGTAGAATGTTTATGATCAATTATTGGAGGTGATTATGACCAATAAAATAGTGAATTTGTGATCAATAAATAATTTGTGACTAATTTTTTTGAGCGATTGTGACCAAGAAAATGATTAAGATGTGGCCAATTAATTTGATAATTTGTCATTGTAAAATAAGTTGAGACATGTCAAATTTGTGATCAGTGATTGAGAAATAATATGTGACTAATTAATTTCCTATTTTGTGACTGTAAAATGAGTTGTGGCATGTGAAATTTTTGAATTGTGATTGAGAAATAATGTATGACCTATTGATTTGATAATTTGTGATCAATAAAAGAAATTATGATCTATAAAATTTGTGATTTGTGATTGAAAAATAATGCGTGGCCAAATTGTGATCGAGAAATAAATTGTGACTTATAAATTTTTGTACAGAGATCATAAATTGCATAATATTATGAACTTAATATATTTAATTAATAAATCTTAATTAAAACCTGATTTTAAAATTTTAAAATTATGAATTATAGCTACCTTGAACATAAATTTTCAAAGCCCAATTAAAAGTCAGGCCATCAAAGGATAACCCGTTTCTGTTTAGCGAAGCTGCGAAGGGGAAGAGCACCTAGGTTTTCTCTCTCGGTATTACACTAAAAATTGGGAACATATTGATCCCTGTCGCACCAATTTATCTTATGTTGCAGTGATTTCTACTCAGCTTCTTCATCACCAAACTTGGAAGGTAGTATCGGATTATACTAGTGTTAAAAACGGGCTTTATATGTTAAAATCGACTCGATTTGTTTGTTGTGAATGATTTAATTTGAACTCAACTCCTTATAATTTATTTTATTTTTCCAGAATTGTTGTTTCTTGATGGTGATCTTTCTCAAGCAACAGTGATTTTCTCAACAATATTTATCTTGAAATTTTGATGCGGTTGTTTATGGTTTTCCATTGCCTTAAAAATTGGTTGTCCCTCAAGTGTAATAGGTGAAATACCCAGGATCAAAATCCAGTGGGGTTTCAGGAAATTTGTGATTTAATTCTTGTAAATTTGTGAACACGTCTTTGGTTGCATTTTAATTTGAAGATAATTTTATTTTGACATGGACAATTAAATTGTTCTGGCAGGATATCCTTGAGCAGATACTGGATTTTGATATCAGGAAACTCTTTACTTGTTTCTTCAGGAAACTGCTGTAGAGGAGGTTAGAGATGGATTTGGAAACGGAGAATAAAATAGCTGCTATTCTTTTGAAAGAGGCAGCTGAGCTGCGACGACAAGCTGAGAAGGAGGGTGTGCATGCTTATATTCATCAGCCCACGGTTAGGGGTCGCCCCAATTCACGTTTCTTGACTGCAACTGTTCTTGGAGTACATCAAGGTTAGTTTCCATCGCTATGAAAATGGTTTCTTTTTTGTTTGTGTCGGAATTTTACCTAGTTAACCTAGATATCTAGGGTCTTCTCTTTTATATGGAAAACATAAACAAATCTTTAGCTTTATAGTAAAATATGTGGTTTTATTTCTTATTTTGGGAACCCTCCCACCTTGCAATTATGACATAACTGTTTATCTGAGTGTCGAAAGCCACTGTGTGAAACAACATCCTTGTATTCCACTCTCTGAAATTCTGGCTTCAATTTCTTCTCTAGGATTTTCTGCACATATTAGATCATCCAATCCTCATTATTGTCTCCTAGATTAATAACTTCCACTAGTCACCAATAAACTCCCCCATCCGCCCTTCTCCCATTTCTTTATACTCATACTGAAGCTTCCTTAGATTCTAAGGCACCTGAGTGGATTGAGGGAATATTGAATAAATGAGTTTCACTCTGTCATGGCATGTCTTTGGTCCCTTTATCCTCTGTTTGGATGGTTTTGTTGGGTATAGTAACTGCTGTAACGATGTCTGTGGCCCCATCTTTTAGACCTATCATAATTCTTTTAAAGTTTTATATTGTGTAACCAGGGTACTTAAAAGAAGCCAAAATTTATTGTGGACTAGATCCATAATGTTATTTAGAGATTTTGGGGATTCAGTGTTTTTAAGACTTATAGTCTGTAGTTTTAACATTGTTAGAACCGTGAGAATTTGCATGTGCATGAAATAAGCTTAGGTATCATTTCTCATTTAGGATCAGAAGCAATTTTTGGTTTTTCGCAGAGTTCCATTGAGATTGCTGTTCTTGTTGGATTTGTTCTGTTATGTTCTCTTATTTTGTCTTTATATTCTGCCTTTCAAAATATTGTTCTCCCAGCAAATCGTGCTGTTGAAGTAAATGAGATGTGGCGATTAAGGCAGAAAGAGATAGAGCTGGATAATAGGCTCAGAGGAACAAGAAATGAAAGTAGCAAGGGAAGAAGTGGCAGCGATGTTTCTAACACTTCCAGGAGTACAAGTAGGGAATACTACGACTATGAGTCACATACAAGTGCTTCATGTTCGTCAAAGAAAAGAGTTACCCGGGAGAGTCATCCAACCGAGGATGATGGTCTAAGGGACAATGAGATGGAGGAATTTCTACATGCAAGGTATCTCTTTGGCCCCCACCCCACACACACTCTCTCTCACCCTCTCTCCTTTCCGTGCGTGCACTGTATTGTATGGGACAGTCACTCTTCTAGGATCCATGGTATATTTAAGTCTTATTGGACTATTTTCTGGATGGCAGGATCAAGCGAGGCAGGGGTGCTGTTGGATCAAGGATGGATGAAACTGGTCCATACCTTCCTTCAAGTCCAAATTCCAAGCAAAAACAATCAGGGTGCCCCGACGAAGAGCTTAGAGAAAAACGTATTTTGGTAGGCCCCGAAAAGCCTTTTTCACTGAAGTCAGAAGACGAATCTGCTCAAGATAAGAAAAAGAAGGCAAAGATGCTAGGCTCAAGCAAACGTCACTCTAAGAAATATAAATCCAAAGAAAAGTCGAAGGATAAGAAGAGAAAGAGGAGGGAGGAAAAAAAGAGCAAACATCACAAATGACGGTTTTATGGCATATTATTGTTTTTCGGCTAGGTCATTATAACTTGTGATCACGTGTGTCATTTCGGATTAATATTTTTTGTCTGTACATTGTATGAAAAAATATTTTTGTATGGTTCTACCAAAAGAATTAACTTGTAAATTCTTTTTTCTTCTCTTTAATATCCCAACTTTGGACAACGTTCCTAATTCTTGTTATATTTCTAATTCCAAAACGGCCAAAAGATGCATACCAACTTGAGTGTCACAAAATTTAAAGATTAGAAATTCAAATGCGAAGACGATTAGTTGGGGGCAGGAGGGATTCGTGAATGAAATCATGAATGGAAATAACCCAAAAACTTGGATTGTGATCAATAAAATTTTGTTGATCATAAAATGCGTAACCCTTTTGGAGGGCAAAACGTAATTAAGTTCAATTACTATGCAAGAAAAAAGGTACTTGCATGGGATACCTTAGGTGAACACGAAAAATAAATGTTAATCTGGGTGCATTCTACTCATAATGATAATCTCGAAACAAGCATTCTGCGCATATCCAATCCACTGGTGCAATGCAACATTATATTCTCCGGAATATATTATTCTTGCAGGTCAGTACGAATTCTAGAATAGCCAATGCGGAAAAAAACTCGTATATAAAGACAAATATCAAGACTTAAAATCCTATTTTATTGAGTTCAGATGATCAATGTTTTCAAGAAAAGAGAAAGAAAGCGAAGATGCTAGGCTAATGGAAACATATATCCAAAGAGAAGTTTGAAATATAGTGGCTGCAAAAACAGGAAGTATAGAGCACGGAGAATTCTTGTTAACTGGATATTGTTGATTTCTGAGTTGCATCAGTCGTGTGGTACTGACAAGAAATTACATGAATGAGGCATAGAACCAGAAGGAAATAGGATTATTTGCGGATTGCTGTTTATCTTGGAAAATTATCTTGTCGTCCCTCCTATGTTATCTATGAACAATGATCTTATTGAAGATGAGCAGCGATACAATGTTTGAAAGCTTGTGGGCTGCTGCCTGGATTCTAAACGACAAACCCGGTTTAAGTGCTAGAAAATTGAAAGATTATGAATTTGAAATGCTAAGAAATAATTAGTTGGGACTTTTGGGATTCAAGTACTACATAATATTTCAAAGGTTGAGGACTCCACGTGTAACTTTAAGAAGGAATCTTGGGCCACATTTTTCTCACAGAATAAGTGATTTAGTTTGCATGTATGACCCCGGGAAAGAAAAGTATGAAACCAAGGACCTTGATAATGTTCTTCGAGCTATTAAAGCTATAGCGACTTGTCTGCATGCTTCGAATAGTCTGTTCAGCCCTCAAAGTTGTTTATATTCTTCAAGAATTTCTGTACTTTGGTTGAGAATCAATCCTCCAAATCCAAGTGCAACTGAACATGAAATAAAATCCAGATACTGGATTTATTGACTTGTAAGTCTGTAATGTATTTTAGTTTAGTTCAATTTTCTCTACTAATTTACAATTTGTTCAGTTGTCTTCAGGATTGCATGGTCTTTGTTAAGATAAATTGATGCCAATGATGGGAATGAAACTAAGCATCTGGTGATTGATTTTTCAGTTTTTCAAAGTTTGGGGAAGCCTTGGTTGTTTCCTCATTTGCAATAATTCATGGAATGGGGGAAAAGAAAGTTAAAGTTCTTGAAAAGGAGAAAACACAAGTTTTCGCCTTGGTATATAAAAAATGAAACCAAGCTGTTAGAAGGGCTTATGGGTTATGGCTTCTTCAAAGGTGAGTATGATGTTTCCTATCGTGTGTTCACTGTTGAAGAACTTAATAAAGCAACGAACTTAGATTTCACTGGGACAAGAAGTTATTTTTCCAGGTCAGTTATGGCTGATGAAACGGGCTATTACATCAGCAGTACTTTTCAGCAACACTGAGTTCTAGCAAAAAAGTTTTGGAATTCTGATACAGGAAGAGACGGATGGCAGTCCTATGCTATGGTAGTCAAGTTGCAGATGAACTGTCACAAAAAAGTTTTGAAGGTCTTGGGTTGCTGCTTAGATTTGAAAATACCTGCTATATATCTATGACTATGGAAGAAATTATACACTTTCTGTTCGATATTCTTTTCAACAAGAAAGAAGTGAACTTTGAGAATAAGGGTAGATCACTCTCTTGGAGTAATACTAAAAACTGCAACAGATTTTGCAAATGCTATCGCTTACCTTCATACTGAATTTCGCAGACCTATCATCCATAGAGATTTAACCGCGAAAAACATTGTCATGGACCATTATGGTGTTGCTAAGCTACTAGATTTATCACCCTGCATATCACTGCCTCCCGGAGAATCAGAGATAAAAGATCTCCTTGTTGGGATGGTGTCCTTGAACTCCACTACTTTAGGACAGGCATTATTACGGAGAAGTGTGATGTCTACATGTTTGGAAAGATTCTCCTCAAACTCTTAATTGGACATAGGGCTTACAGTCTATATCTTGAACCTACTTCTTCGGAAGAGTATGTTAAAACCATGTTGACTAGGAGTCTGGTACCCGACAATTTTGGGGGAGAGATGCGAAATAGAGCAGGATAATCAATTGTAGGCTTTATCTAAACTTGCTATGAGATGTACTCGTGACAAGGGAGCAGATAAGCTGGACATGTTGATGTGGCAAAAGAATTCATACCGATTCTGAGGTCTATTCATCCACTTTAGCATACTAAAGTTTTTGTAATAATGGTCATTCCTCTATATGCGCATTGCTGTAAGAACTTCCTGTTATGGAACAAACAAGATACCAAAATTGCTCTGATACCACTTCTTATAAATTTGGATCGCAAGATAATGATGATAATGAAATAAATAAGAAGAAAAACAAATACCAAGATTTATGTGGAAACGCAATACGAAAAAAAAATTACAGGCAGAGGAGGAGAAATTCACTATAATCAATAGCAATTGTGTTTACAAGAACTCAATGCATTCAATTGAAATCTAAAGCACTCAAGATGCTGTATGAAAGCATGCCGCTCGAGCGATAGGCATGCCATGCTAGCGACCAAGTCTCAGGTTGTTTTCTACCAGGCTTTCTCGAGCGTCCAGCTAGCGCCGACTAGCGAATATGCAGCTACTTTTTCCTCCGATCCATAATTTTAATCTCTTCAAGACCACTTCAATTTAGATTCCAGCGCCCACTTGAATCTAGGTCAGACCTCAACACTTCCCAAGTTTATGCCATGATTTGTTACAAGTTATAATGATTATAACTCTACTTATTTGCATGCTTGTTCTCCATTTATGTTTACAATACTTTACTTGAAACTTTCATGACGATGATACCCACAACGCTAATTAAGGCAGTTTGTGAAGGCCATCATCCATGACGGCTAATGGATGCCATAAAAAGTTAGTATAAAATTCATAATAGACTGCTGCAATGCACCAGGGTGCAATATAATAGTTTCTGGATTTAATTTAATCTTGCAGGACAGGCCAAATTTTAAGAAGGCCAGTGCAGAAAAAAGTACCGAAGACAACCAGTGAGGCTTTAAAATACTGTTAAACTAGGAATAGCATTAGTTTGTTAAGTTCTATTTGCAATTTTTTTAGGAATAAAGTATTTTCGTTGTTTATTGATGTAAGGGAATCGCCCTCAATATCACGCGGAAGCAGACAACCATATTCACCAAGAACAACGAGAACAATTTACACAAAGTAAATCTATTATTGATTGGGGCTCAGAATTCACCAAGAATACATTGTACCTGTCTGTTCACAAAGAACAAGCCAACAAAACCCAAACCCTAACAAGGATTGCACAAAGCAGTCACTTCAATGAACCAAGAACTCGACAGCCTAACTATGCCCTCTCAAGACTCAATCGAAGAATCACATAGATACAACACCACCAAGACCAATGATTAATCAAAGAGTTTTTATCGATTATACAAAGAATCAAAAGGAGGCAAAAGAGGGAAAAAGGAACGAAGCAAACTGTCCAGAAATATTTCTCACACTAAGCCAAATATTTCTATCACTAAGCCCAAAGAACAGAATGAATTCACGCCATCAGAATGACCGTCCAGCTCTCCTTTATAGTCCACCATCACACCATAAATTAGGCAATAGATCTAGGGTCCAGAATGACACACTTGGCAGCTCCTTTTGGGCCGGGTTTTGGGCTACCTTTCTTTTGAGTTATTGGGCAATGTTTTAAGTAAAATCATTTTCCATCTTGGGCCAAGCCCTATTTCATCATTGCCACAATAGTTAGGAAATTCAAATGTCACAAATGGCATCAAATCCTAACAATTGAGGTTGTAAATGGTCTTATTGAAGTTATTCCCAGTATATAGAAGTACTAGTAGATGACAGGTATATATGGCTAGATTAAGTCTATCCATCAAGATTTCTGTAATTCCGATCTTGAAGTAAAAAATCGAGTCTGCAGATCTTTTCAAAGTTCATGGATTGCGTAAGAATGTAAACTTGGAGAAAAATTCTAAGAGACTGCGACTTTTATTCTCAATTTGTCACAACTCAAGACGGCATCAACAGCAACGAGATGAAACTTACAAAAGAACAAACAAAATAGTGGCGAGAATAGAAAATGACATGTATATTATACTAATCATACGAGGACAGTAAACTGAGAGTTTCCTGGAAGATGCAGCAACAATCCCTGTAAATAAAGATTAGCAGCAACCAATTATCGAAAAAGAAAAGAAAGGGTCTTGGGATTGCCAAAAAACTCAATAGACGTGGTGTTCTGTGTTCATCTTTTTCAAATTTTGATCATCTCTTCTGCAAATCTTCTTCAGATTGTCTCTTGTTTTTTACGGCAATGAAAACGGATTATGCCATGTTTCCAGTAACATCAGGCTCGATTACATGAAATTTATTGCAAGATTTGTATAGACTGGATTTTTAGCATGCTGTATTAGTTTTGGTCTTCTTTGGTCGGTCTCCTTTTTGCTTGGTTCTCCAAGTAATAATAAACCTTCTGGTTATCAGTTGATCTCTGCTTTCTGGGATTATCATATGATGCAGATCCTTCATGGTATGAGGAAAAAAATTGTGTCCTTCTTTATTCCAAGAAAGAAGGAAGAACAAGAAAAATCATTGCATTTTCAGAAGAATGGAGGTGCGCTATTAGAGGAGCTTGTCACCACCTTTGGTGCAAGATATAAGAACCCTATCCGTAACATAAGCGCAAACGAGCTCATCAGGGCAACACAAGGCAGGCATCTTCGAATTGACATGTCAAATGATTTTGATTTCATGTCGACAGGTTCATGGGAAGAACGCCCTATTTTAGTCAGGAGATGCACTGGTCGGATCCTCAAAGAAACCGTTCGCGATATAGCAGTTACTTCACAGATGAGCCACCACAAGAATGTGTTGAAACTCATTGGCTGCTGCACGGAATTTGAGAGTCCAGCACTCATTTACGAATATTCAGGAACTGATTTGCTTTCTGATCTTCTCCATGAACCAAGAAATCATCGAATACTGTCGTGGAAAAGCAGATTACGGATTGCAAATGACATTGCGAATGCAATTGCTTATCTTCACACTGTATTTCAAACTCCACTCATTTATAGAGGGCTTGATCCAGGTAAAATCATCGTGGACAACAATGACATCGCGAAACTATTTGATTTCTCATTATGCATTTCACTTCCTCCTGGAGAATTGCACGTCGAAGTTGAAGGTCAAGTTGGGAGACTCAATTCTCTTGATACTACACCATATTCTCGTTTTATAACTCAAAAAACCGATGTTTATAGTTTTGGTGTGCTTATGCTTATGCTTTTAACGGGTCAAAGAGCGATGTGGAGAGATCAAGAAGGTAAGCTTATAAATATTGTGGTTTTTGTCAATAAACAGCTCAACCAAATTGTAGATCCTCATGTTTTGAGTGAGGGCGGAGGGAATGAGCAAAACTGGCAATACAGGGCTTTCCTGGATCTTGCCTTGTGTTGCATAAAACCCGAGAAGGATGATAGGCCGGAAATGATTGAAGTTGCGAAAGAACTCAAACGGATATCAAAGTGCATTCATACAGAGGAAGTGTTTCAGGATGTGAATCATATACTGAATTCACCAAATTCCTATGTTTATTATGCAGTTTTCATTGGTATACTGTTGATAGGACTTGTGATTATTCGTTCTTTAAGAGTTTCTAGAGTCGAGTTGTCAGTCAAACAGCTGCCGCCAGTACAAGGTGAGGTACTGAAGATTATTAACAACTATGAACTATGAAAGGAATAGGGAAACAGCTCGTCTGAAATCTAGTTCTTGATAAATTTGGGGTCGGCCATCATTGTCGTAACTCAAGTTGAACCTGAATTCCCACAATTAGAAAGTTGTTAAGTTTAAGTTCCCTTTCAGAAGTTACATGTAAATTAGAAATTTGTCTGTACATTGGTGCCTCAGTAACTAAGTTTCCTATATTGTATATATCAAGTTGTTATAATCCTGGGGATTTGCTACATTGAATGTTCGCGGACAGTAGACAAGATTTAACTTTTCTTTCTTTCTTTAACACTGTGTAATCATGCATCGTCCATGGAACCAAACGAACTAGTTGAACCATAATTGCTCTTGTGGACTGAAACTTCTAGGATAAGTAAATAAAAAATTTCCCATTTTGGTGATTTTTCCACATTTGTGGGTTATTTCTTTGATTAGTAGT